AGTTGTTTGTTGCGAACCGAGCGTAGGTGTTCTGCAAAGCGGTCCCCTTTGATATGAGTTACGATCAACCTGAATTCTGCTGATGAGTAATGTGGGAATAGTTGGAAAGCAAAAGAAAAGGTGTATGCTTAATTGAAACCTGAGCTTGAGCTTGTGGTAGCTTGAAACATTACTCATTTGGCCTTGCTGTGAGTTCATATTCTCTCTAAATCATTTTATTATTGCAAATGCTTCAATAAATTGCTCCACAGGATCGTTTGCTTCTTTAAACATGTGTAGAAGGAGTTGTTTGCAAAGGATCAATTTCGTAAAATGTACAAAACTTTACTGATATAGCTATTGAGTCATGATCCCAGATATTGTTCTTACTTGGATTAAAGTGAATTTAGAGTAATAGCTATTATTAAAAATAACCACACCTTGTTTCAGGTCAGGTGTAGAATTTTATTACGGGCAGATGATATATGATATTTTTGTTTTACAGATGGATGCCCAGTTCCAGTTTCCCAGCAGTCAGGAAGTAAGTTGTGTGTGTGACAATGGCAGATAAATTGCCTTTGTATTTGTATGTGGTGTGAACAGGCGATTTGTAAGAAAGGAGGTAATAGCTTGCATTTGTATTGACTTTCACAACCTCAATGTCCCAGAGCACTTCACAGCCAATTAAGTATGTTTTTGAAGTGTAGTCACTATTGTTATGGGCCAAATCAAACCCCATCAAAGTATGTTAAGATAGTTGTGACCCCAGCTTTTCTTATTTTTAAAGGCAAGTGTAAGGCATTGTGTTCCCAATGCATATCAATTGGTCAAACTACCAGGCTTGAAAAAAATACACTTTATTCTTACAGTCCAGTTAAAATACAGACAAGACAAGACTAAAAAAAAGCTTAACTGCAACTATCAAAATACTTATCAAGAATATATATAAGCTAACTGATTAGCTATTCCAAGGTAGTAACGTCCCATAAACACATCCTTAGCAAAGGCAAATTCAGTAAAATAGATTGTCTTACATGCAATGTTTCTGCAGTCCAGGAGGAAAGAACATCAAGAGAAAACTAAGAGAGGGAGACTTCAGATGTTTTGCTGCATCAGGGACAGATATATAGCAGCTGCCAAATCCCAACCCCAAAGTTAAATTAAAATCCTGGTTCTATGAGCCCATCCATTCATACTGCTTCCATTGTTCCAACTTTAAAAAAGAACCCCAAGGCCTCACAAGCCATTTACTTTATTGGTTTGGAACAGACTGCTCGTTACCTCTGTCTCAACCTTTCTTCATAAAATAGAAACAAAATACACCTCTTAAAGTGATAGTATCATCATGCAGTTGTAAAGCGAGGAAGTTTGCGAGTCAGTTTGCACACAGTCAATCCCAAAAACTTCACTACAGTAAATGACCAGACAATCCATTAACTTTTAGCAATCTATTGGTGACTGAAGTAACTCCACAGAGGGCAGTATCCTGTCATCAAGTCACCCTTTATTTACACGTGGACTGTCCTTGACTTTAGTATTGCCTCTTCATTGCCAGCTATCGGAGTGTCAGTGTCTGTGACACTCCCCTTTTTATCTGTCAGCCAGGGCTCCCTGATTGCACCACATTAACAACCCCAATCAGAGAACTCCTATTCTATGACGTCCAGCTGGCTGACCTCGTTACAATCACTACCGTGACAATACGGACAGAATGATCCTACTCCCACCTATTCTTCCCGTTTCTTGCTTCACTGAAAAAGGAAGTGTTTAAATATTTTTAAGAGCAAAAGATTAAAGAAAAATCAGAGGAAGAGCAAGAGAGTGGTAACTATAATGCTGTGATTTTGGACTGTAACCATCTAGTTCTTAGTGAGTACTGATCCAAAGCACAAATGGGTCCTAAGTTGTAGCTAAATTACTAGTTCACCAAGAAATATCAGTGTTACTGGTGTGGGAGCTGAAATATTGTCACACTGGAAGGATACTGATGCCTTTGGGGCTGAGTAACACGTATGAGGTGACTGAACTTGCATCTCTTACAGTTGACCTGATGTTTGCTTATATCTTCATTATTGGGACATTGACATTACTGGTAAGGTCAATATTTGTTTCCCATACCTAATTTCCCCTGAGAAAGTGAGATCATGGTGGAGAGTCACCTTCTTGAACCATTACAGTCCTTCTCTCACTCTCAGTGCTTTAGTTCCAAAATTTTGATCTATTGACAGTGAAGGAGTGACGATATAGTTCCAGCTCAGCATGCTGTGGGAATTGGAAGGAATCTTACAGGTGGTGATGTTCCACATGTCTGCTGCCCTTGTCCTCCTGAATGGGAGAAGTTTTGTATCTGGAAGATACTGTTGGATAATGCTTAATGAGCTGTTGTAATGTTTGATGTATATTGTATTTGCTGCTGCCATTGTGCCACAGGTGAAGGGGCAAATGTTCAATGTTGCTTTCTTTCTAGTGATTCATTCCCTTCACATCTGCAATCATGCCCAGCAACATTTAGTATTTTTATGTCCCTTTTATTGTGATACAATATTCCTGGGCACTTCAATTGGTGACCCTAATAGAAGAGATTTTAAATGGTGAGAGTTGAACTTTCCCAGCTGAGATCTGAAAATCTCAATCTAAAATTTGAACTTAAATGTCTGTTTTAAAGAACTACAATTACCATTTTCCCGTATCCTTAATCTTTTCATGTAGAGTCTTAGGGATTCCCACGTTATTCCATGGAGATACTGTGAGTTGTCATAAGTAAGTCCAGTGCAATAAAAGTCTTTTTTAAAAAGTCTTGATTATTTTCTCAACTGCATTTAATGGAGTCAAAAATGGAAAGTTGTGGAAGACATTTGCAGGGATTGCAAGTTCCATCACCCCTTGTTCATTGCGATGCAGGCATCATACTAATTTTGTGCCACCTGCTGATTCAAAGGTTTTGATACAGAGCAGTTTCCTGTGCAGGAAATAATTCTGATCTGGGAAGCTGTAGAAAGGCCTAACTCAAAAGAGACAGCCTACAAGGTTTTCAGATGCTGTGCTGGAGGCCTTGATGTTTGAAGTAGAAAGCAATAAAAGTGTTTTGTCTTTGTAAGAAATTCTCAAGACTGGTTAAAAAGGCAATGGAGGCAGATAGTGATGAAGCTCAATGCCAGGTGTCAGGTCCCAAGGACCTTTAATTCATTCTGCAAGAAAGTCAATGACCTTACATGAGTGATCAAAGCCAATGGAACTTTGAATGTCGAATCCTACCAGTCACTAGCTCAGTCAGTAGTAGGGCTGCTTAGTGCTGCACATTTCTGTCAGTCAATTTCCAACACTCTCCGTAAGGGCTCATTTATGGGCTTGACATCAGTTAGCCTTCAGAGCTTCCCATCAAGTTTACACACATTGCCAACTATTTAACTATGACCACCACATCACTTAGTCACATTACATCACATTCTCTGAAACATTTCCCTGTCTCTTGCAGGACAAGGTATCACAAGGGAAGACGGTGATATGATGGTTTTGTCACTGGATCAGTAATCCAGAGATCTGTGCTAATGCTCTGTCCACATGGGTTTGAGTCACACCATGGCAGATGGTGAGAATTGAATTCAGTTAATAATCTAGGATAAATAACCTGTATAACGGTCATCGTGAAATTTTGGCGATTGTTGAAAGAAAAACCCACCTGGTAAACTAATGTCCTTTTTGGAAAATTTCAAGAAAACATTACCTGGTCTAGCCTGCATTTGACTCCTGACTAGCTGATTCTAAACTGCCCTGTGAAACGGTCTAACAGACCACTCAGTTGTACCTAACTGCCATGAAGTCTGTTAAAGGGAATGAAACCAGACAGACCATCCAGTATCAACCTAGGCACCAGAAATGACAATAGCACATGCAATTCTGGTGACCCTGCAAACTCCTCCTTATTGACATCTGGGGGCTTGTCACAAAATTGGGAGAGTTGTCTTATTAGGCTAGTGAAGCAACAGTCTGAATTGTCAAACTCCTGGAATCATACCTTACAGATAATGTCCTGGGCATCACTGTCACCAGCCCTGGGTATGTTCTGACTCATCAGCAATGCATACCCGACATAAGTGGCAGCATAATGTGCATACAATTAGGAGGGAGTTGCCTTGGTTGTCCTCAACTTTGAATTCGATCTCTTAAACTCTCGTGTCAGGTTGAACGAGCGTGGAAACCTCCTGATTACCATCAACTCCGTGAATCAGATCTGCTCCATGTTGAACACCACTTGGAGGATACTCAGAGGCTGGCAAGAGAACAGGATGTGCTCTGGGTGGAAGCTTCAACGTCCATCAACAACAGTTGCTCAATAACCCTAATACTGACTGAGCTGGCTGAGTCGTAAAGGAAATAGCTGCTAGAGTCACCAATGGCAGGCAATGAGGGAATCATCATGAGGAAGAAACATACTTAACCTTGTCCTTACCAATCAATGTCTAGCACATACATCTGCCCATTACATTACCGGTAGGAATGGCAACAGCACAGTTCTACTGGAGAAGATGTCCCACTTTCAAATTGAAGACAGCTTGCATTGTGTTGTGTGGCACTACCACCATTCTGAATGAGATATTATTCAAACTGATCTAGCAACTAAAGACTGGTCATCCACACGGCGCTGTGGGCCATCAGCAGGAGTAGAATTGTATTCAGCCACAATCGATAATGTCATGCCCCAGCATATCATCCACATAACCTAAAAAGGTCAACCTCATGACACTACAACACATGACTTACTATATGCCAAGCAGCATGTGATAAAGTGAAGAAATCCCACAACCAGTGGAACAGATCTAAATTCTGCAGCCCTTTCACATCTAGTCATGAATGGTCGTAGCAAGTTAAGTGCTCAGTGGAGGAGGATCCACAGATATCATCATCATCATCAGTGACTAGGTAGCCCAGCACCTCGGTGAAAAGGTGATGCTGAAGCAACTATAAGCACCTTCAACCTGAAGTGTGAAGTGGATGATCCATCTCTTCCTTCTTACGAGGTCCCCAGCATCACAGATGCCAGCCTTCAGTCAATTTCTTCATTCCGTGACATCAAGAAGTGGCTGGAGGTACTGGATACTGCAATGGCTACGGGCCCTGACAACATTCTGACAATTGTACCAAAGACAAATGCTGCAAAGCGAGCTGTGCCCCTAGCCAAGCTGTTTCAGTACAGTCATAACACTGGTATCTACTTGGCAACGTGGAACATTGTTCATGTACGTCCTGTCCAGAAAATGTAGGACAAATTTAGCCTGGTCAGTCTACTCTCAGTCAGAAGTAGAGTGATGGAATGTGCCATCAAAGTCATTGTTATGTCGCCATAGTCTGACCAGCCCATAAGGCTGCGCTGTCATTAGGAAGAGACGACCGGTGGTGATTTAACCTGAGAGCCACCATACCTCGGTATGTCCTTCACGGTATCCTTAGCCAGTGATGAGAATTGAACCCATGCTGTTGGCATGACACTGCTTCTCAGACTAACCATCCAGCCAACTAAGCTAAACCTGTGCTAAATTGCCT